TTTTTTTTTTTTTTTTTTTTTTTTTTTGGTGAAAACTTAAATTTTAAGTCTACAGTATGAATACTCAAATTTAATTATGCATATTAAAAAATGGCAAAAACATCCCTTTTTTTTTTATTAAAAATATGGAAAATATAAAATTTTAATATTGAATCAAAGAATTAAAATTGTGATGTCCCACGTGGGTTGAATAGGATAACAAAACACCCTTTATAAGAAGGGTGTGGAAACCTTCCGAGAAGCCCAAGAGGAAAAGCCCAAAGAGGATAATATTTGGTAGCAGAGGATCTGGGCCGTTACAAATATCTGCTAGCGGGTGGATCTGGGTCGTTACAAATGGTATCAGAGCCAGACACCAGACTATGTGACAGCGAGGAGGCTCTTCCCCAAAGGGGTAGACACGAGACGGTGTGCTAGTAAGGACGCTGGCCCCAAAGGGGGTGGATTTGGCGGGGGTCCCACATCGATTGAAAAAAGAAAAGAGTGCTAGCAAGGACGTTGGCCCCGAAGGGGGGTGGATTGTGATGTCCCACGTTGGTTGGGGAGGAGAACAAAACACCCCCAAATGGGGTGGATTTGGCGGGGTCCCACATTGATTATCGAAAGGAAATAGTGCCAACAAGGACATTGGGCCCCGAAGGGGGGTGGATTTGGCGGGGTCCCACATCGATTGAAGATAGGAAAGAATGTCAGTTAGGACGCTAGCCCCTTTGGACTATAATGTCCCATATTGGTTGGGGAGAAAAACAAAAAACCCTTCATTTTAAAGCCTTGAGGGGAAGCACGAAGGAGATGGGAAAGCTCAAAGAGGACAATATCTACTATCAGTGGATCTGGGCCGTTACAAACATACTCAAAATCAGTAGTATAATTTAGGTGCTGTGTCAGCAAGAATGTTGGCCCCCCAAGGGAGGATGGACTATGAGATCCCACATCGATTGGAGAGGGGAACGAAACATTCCTTGTAAGGTGAAAGAAACATCTCCATAACAGTCTCGTTTTAAAATCTTAAAGAAAAGCCCAAACAGAACAATATCTATTAGCAGTAAGTTTGAACTGTTACAAATGGTATCAGAGCCAGACATCGAGAGGTGTGCCAGCGAAGACATTGGGCCCCAAGGAGAGAGGATTGTGAGATCTCGTATTGGTTGGAGAGGAGAACGAAACGTTCCTTATAAATGTATTATAGTTTACAAAAGCAATGTCCCTTGTGCGTAGAGTTTGTACCTCACGTTCCAAGATCCTCACTGGTCTTTCTTCGTAACTTAAGTTCCTGCCACCTTTAGAGTGTCATAGTCTATCACATGTGTGGGGTTTGCCAAATACTTACGAAGTACGGACACATGAAACACGTTATGCACTGGTGAGAGGGACTGTGGCAGGGCTAACCTATATGCTATCAGTCTAATCCAAACTAAGATCTCAAAGAGCCTAATAAAGTGTGAACTCAACTTGCTTTTACGTCCAAACCTTAAAACACCTTTCATTGGGGCCACCTTCAAGAATACCATGTCGCCCACCTCAAATTCTAGGCTCCTTCGTCGTACATCCACATAACTTTTTTGTCTACTATGAGCAGTGCGCATTCCTACTCTAATCTTTTGCACCACCTCATTGGTAACTTAAACTAATTCATGACCCACCAATTCACATTCCCCTACTTTGTCCCAACACAATGGAGTCTTACATCGTTTTCCATACAAAACCTCTTACGATGTCATGCCAATAGTTTCCTGGAAACTGTTATTATAAGCAAATTCCATTAAATGTAATTTCGTGTCCCAGCTACCTACGAAGTCTAATACAAAGGCACGTAGCATATCTTATAGGATCTAGTTTAAACGTTCTGTTTGACCATCTATCTATGGGTGAAAAGCTGTACTGAAATCTAGGCGAGTACCTAACGCTTTCTGAAGTCTACACCAACGCCAACATAAAGTGTAGGTCTTGATCTGATACAATGACACTAGAACTCCATGCAATCTAACAACTTCCTTCATGTATAAATGTGTTCAATTGTCCACTATGTAGGTGGCTTTACCCAGAAGAAAATGTGTTGACTTTGTCAATTTGTCCACAATTTACCCATATGATTGTGTAACCCTTCAACGTTCATGGCAACCATACTACAAAATCCATGACTATATTCTCTCATTTCCATTCTAGCACACTGAGAAGTTTGTAACAATCCCACCATTTTCTATCTAGGTGCTTGGACTCGCTGGCATACTAGGCATTTACTCACAATTTCTACTGTCTTTTTCTGCATACCATGTCACCAAAAATATTGCTTTAAATCTTGATACATCTTGGTACCACCGAGGTGCATGGCGAATAAGGATTATGTGTCTTGCCTAGTATCTCATTTTCTATTCTTCCACTATCGGTATGCACAAACATCATTGTCATAGTAATTTTCCATTAGACGACGTGGAGAAGCTATCAATTGGTCCTACCGTTAACTCATTAAGTGTTTTTCCTAACTCAAGGTCTCCTACTTATGCAAACATGGTCCTTTGTTGGAGTGTGAATTGGACTTGGGTTAGCTATGCTCTAATTCCTTCCACTGTCATTATTATCCTAGCTTGTTAGAAAATTTTTCTATACTCGGGTCTCTCTCATGATTAATGCTGACGAATGGGCTATCTTTCTACTTATGGCATCGGCGACCACATTGGTCTTCCAAGGGTGGTACTGGATGTCGATGTCATAGTGCTACTGTTAGCACGTGGCTTAAGTATTTTAAGAAATACTTAGTGAGTCACCCTAATGTTTGGGTTAGTCATGCAATCACACATATAATATGATTGGGATCTATCATTTAAAACTGTTACATGGCCTTGGACTCTTTCTAGTTTCAGGTAGGGTCGAATGTGTGGTACTTTGGACCCACTAGGCAGGCTCGTATACGTACCCCTAAGTCTGGCTTGGTCGGACACAACGTTACACGTCATCAAATGCCACAAAGAAGAAAAGACCTGCATGATATCACGAAGAACATAATGTCGAAGGTATGCATTCGTACTAACATCACATAAAGGAGAAGTATCCCGATGCGCATGACATAGATACATGCATAAGGTCCCCATGATTTACATTCCTACATTCATAGCATAGCATTAACATCATTCCCTTTCTGCTTTCATCATATATGCATTATGTAAACATGACAATCATCACATAATCCATTATATAACTTTACATGGCAATACATGAAATGACATACATAACGTTTCATTTTATTCATAACATAGTGTAATGGAACCTCGTTACTAGTTGGAGTGACCCAAGCCATATGTGTAAACCCATACAACCTCATCGTAACTTTACATGGCAAGACACAAAAATATATATCTCACCAGAGTAAACCCATACAACCTCGTTACTAGTTGGCGTGACCCAAGCCATATGTGTAAGACTCCAAGTATGATAGAAGACACGGAGTCCAAGTAAGTGATTTCTAATTCTTGTGGAGAAGAAATTTCAAGATTCGAAAAAAAAAATGTTTTTTTTTTAAATAAAATATTTAAAAGTAGCAAATTACCAAAATACCTTTGAAGATATCATGTAATTGCATATAAAGTATTAAAATATGAGACATTAAAAATGTTTGAAGAGGTGAGATTGATAGATTTCTCTGCTACAACAATCCCACATTGATAGATTTAAAATTGCACGTAGTCTTCATAAAGTAGCCATTGTCACAAGGAAATTGTTGAGCTTGGTAATGTGAGCTTGTAACTCATATGGGGGCAACAAAGTGACTGGAAGTTGGCTGACCCATTGGTTAGGGTTGTTGTGCAGAGATGTTCTTCGGCCTGTTCATTCCAAGTAGGGAGTTGGGCCTCCATGTGTCTATGGCCCTTGGAGTTGGAGGAAATTACCATATGCAATGTCTAACATGTCAAGTGAGACCTAAATCGATGTCCTGACTTTGTGTTATATTTTCATTTTTAGGTAAAATTGAACGCATAATATTTCTCTACATAAGGTAAATATCGTCCTCGTAAACGTAGATTTGACTACGAACTTGCGCACGCTTAACCAATTGAAACTAAAAGTTTCAAATGAATTCAAGCGGTAAATATTCACCGGGAGCATTAAATTTATGATAGGTCCTCCAAATTTTGGATAATTTTTATTTTGACTAAAAGAGGTTAATTATATTGGTGGTTGAACATCTATATTTTACCCAACAAACCTCCTCTAGGGGAATATTTATTTATCCCTTTAAAAATAATAACTTAAATTAAATGTTTGACCATCTAGATCCTATAAGATCTACTCTATTGCGAGTTGGGGATCTAGCCGTTCATTTTTTTCCACTTTTACACTCGGTATCGACATATGATTTGCGAGTTTGGGTCTGGTTGTGTGGGTTGAGTTCGTCTGGGTTGGTCTAATAAATGTGGGTTAGATGGGGTTTGTCTTTGGATTTGGGCTTTGTGCCTAAGCGGTTAAAATCATTTGATTTGAGGGTTGGACTCGATTCAACCCGATTCGTGAATCATTTCTTCTTCACTCGTAAATCAAGCCATGCTATCCTGTTCACCTTTTGCGAACATACAATGACAGTAATAGTCCTCCTATGATTAATCTACGTTGTTAAGTACTTCTCATATGGTAGGCGAGACGGAAAATCTCTTAAAACATAACAGCACAGTGACGAGATGGATTCTTGATTCAGAACTTAAAAACGAGAGAACTATTGATGATTTGAATCAATTTATGTTGAGACGAAACTAGCCTTGAATACACAAGCAATGAGGGAACAATTCGTGACAATCTTGAGGGTAAAATGGTAAATTTCTCTTAGTTTTGTTCATAATTTAGCTTATATTCCAAGAAGAACGTGGATACTCTAAATCTCACATCTTCACATGAACAGTTAATTGAATAAGGAACTTTTGGCGCTATTTCTACGACAATTATTCCGCCATTTTCTCGCCATGCTTCCGTCATTTCACTTTCTCTTCTCCGTTCCACAGCGCAACAGGTTTCGTTCTCTTTCCGAATCACTTCTATTCCTTCTCCACTTTTCTGTATTCGTTTCTGATTCCTTGTTCCAATCTTTTACGCCTTTGGATTTCTTTGATGAAACTCCGTTCCTTGCTTTTCCTTTTCCTTTTTTAATCAGAATATTCCGTAGCTTTGTGCTCTACAGTGGACTGTGTTTTGTTCGTATGGCGTTCCAAAAATGGTGATCCAGTTAGTCTCTACTAATGCGCCTTTTTCTTCTCTTGTTTTAACTTTTCAGCTGATCGGTTGAGCTCTGGTGATATCTATTAGCATACTGAATTAATCATTGTCGGAAATTTCTTGCTGATTGTGATTTGTGAGTTATTATGCATTCAACTTTATAGAGTATACTTCGAATATTATAATTGTTTGGTCTGAAAACGATTTTGGAGCTTTTAGTAATTGTTTATTGTTGAAATCATAGGGTCTTTTTTTATAATCGACGAGTTCGAATAATTTAATTCGCTTATTTGTTCTTATATGGATGCAAGCCTTCTGTCAATTTTGTTCTTCCTGGCCTTCTATGATTGAGTTCGATTTGTGCCTTTTCTTTTGTTTGCATAACCCCCCCAGAAGTCTCTGTTTTAATCTTATTGTGCAGGACAGTTGTTTCATTTAGTAGCCGAGTGAATTGCTTTTCAATCTGAGTGAAGTATGGATATGAGGCTTTTGGAAATTCATCCTCAGGAATTGAAGTTCATTTGTAAGTCTACAGAATCAATCAACTTTTCTCTTTAAACTTTTATTTTGTTGTTTTCAATGAGCTGTTCATCGATTTTCTCCGGAAGCATCACAGACAATTAGTTGCTGTTGCTCTCTTTCCTTCCTATGAAACGTTTGATCTTTTATGACGAAAGCAAAGTGATTTTCTTGTTTGGATGTTCTTCAGTACTTGAAAGTTTTGATCACAGCTGAAGAGTGAGTTTGAGATTTCTGGAAAGTAAGAAAGTGCCTTTCGCTAATTAAAGTTTTTTTTTTCAAAATTATGTAAAAGCCCAAGCCCGACCCCAAGTCCACCGCTAGCCGATATTGTCCTTTTTGGGCTTTCTCTTCTGAGCTTCCCCTCAAAGTTTTAAAACGTGTATACTAGGAGGAGGTTTGTACACCCTTATAAGGAATGTTTAGTTCCCTTCTCCAACCGATGTGGGATCTCACAAAATAGGGCAGCATTTTCTTATAAATTTGAAAACGCTTTAAAATTACTCTTAAGAGAAGCGCTTAGAGTTAAGTTTGAAATGAGTTCTGGTCCTAGTGCTTTAAGGTGGAACACGTTTTTATAAGCACTTTTGATAAATAGCGCTAAATAAATGCTTACTTTTGAAGTATTGTCACACACTTTTCAGTATTTTAAAATTTTAATTTAATCAGTCACCTGAAGTTTTAGAAAGCATTTTTAATTAGTTTGAAGTACTTCTTACTCTTCTAAAAACGATGTTAAACTCATCGTTGTGCTTTTCTTGAAAGTTGCTTATTAAAAGAGTGTTTCTTAAAAGTTATCCCAAGCTCAAGTTTTGATGCATGACATTTTGTATGATGTCTGCTCTGGATTTAATTCACTAAGCTACCTCAAATGAAGTTTCATGTCTGCTGTGCTGAATATATTTTCTGATTTGCTACTAGGACATTGCTTACTTTAGATATTTCTTTTTCTATGAACAATGCTATGTTATTTTCACTTCTTTTTATCATCCACTACCTTTTCCAAATCCGAATTAATTTCGTTCGTTCATATTTTCTTTCTGTTGCCTCCAGGTGAACCAAATAAGCATAGCTTGTGCTCAATTCAACTTACAAATAATATGCTTGAACATGTTGCTTTTAAGGTTTGGGTTACCAATCTTTCTCCCTGTCGCTGTCTGATATGGGTTACAAATAATATACTGATTTATGATGCATTATATTGAGATAACTTGTTATGTTGGATGCAAGATAATGAACAGAGTTTCTTTTTCAGGTTAAGACCACGTCCCCTGATAAGTATTTTGTCCGACCAAAGGTTGGAATCATCGAGCCAAACTCAACTCGTGAATTCACGGGTATTTACTTTTGATAATTAATTCAAGGCTTTATATTTTCTCTCATTTTGTTCCAGGAGCAAAAAAGGGGATGTAGGGTGGCATATTTATTTTTAGTCTTGAGTGGTCTTTATTTTTAAAGGCTTTAATGAGGCCATTTGAGGCTGCAGTCTTCCTCTGCTTCTAATTTCTCTGCTTTATTAGCTTTATCATAATTTTTTGTGTGCTTCCATTTCATGTTGTAGTCTATTTGGTGTACTTTGCTTTCAGAAGCAGAAAATCTAAACCCATTTCTTTTTTTCTTTTCTTTTTTTCCCTTTGTTTTCCAACTTCAGGGTACCGTGGGCTGTTTAGTTTCTCCTTGCGTAAGATTTTTAGTCCAATAGTTATATTGATCATTATGAAAAGGAATTAATTGTTTATGATGAAATACTTTGTGTTGATAATTTTCTAACTGATATTTTATATCCTTCTCTTCTATTTTTCTTCTTTTATCGTAATCCAACTATTTTGATATCAATGATTGGCTCAAGTGCTTACAATAATCATGGGCTATCCATAGTCTCGTCTTACTGCTCTCATTCTTTCCTTATCCCTTTCTCCCTTTCTTTTTAAGTCCTGTACTTGCCTATAACTTTTCCTGCTTTCCAAATTTTATATAATGATTCTTAATGTAGTTAGGATGCAAGCACAAAAGCTGGCCCTACCTGATATGTTATGCAAAGACAGGTTCTTAATCCAGAGCACAGTAGTTCCTGCTGATACAACTGATGAGGACATAACCTCTAGCTTGGTAAATGCTTCTACTAGTATTTATTATGTATAGTTGGCTATTTGTTTTCGCATTTAATTATTATTTGTTTTGTTTATTTTTTATTTTTTAAATTTCAGTTTGCCAAAGATGGTGGAAAGTACATAGAAGAACAGAAGTTGGGTGTAACCCTTGTTAGCCCATCCATTTCCCAAGCATTAAAGGAGGAGGAAGCTCTTGGAGTTACCGGACCAAATAATCTATCTACAGCAGTAGAGGAGATTGTAGACCAGGAACCTTCACACGAAAGCCATGTTATGTCTAATGGAGTTGATAGCCTGCCTCCAAAACACATGGTTACAATTTCACAATACACGCCTTTTTTGTATGCTTTCTTCATGATACATTTACTTTTTTTCCCATGTCGATTAGGATGCTTAGATAAGCATCCACGGAAGAGTGTTTTGAGAATGCATTGGAAGCTTAGAACATGAAAACTGTGCAACGCTTTCAAACTTGGCACATGACAATAGCTAAATGTTTTGTTGAATCTATGTTCAGTTGCATATCTCTTCCAATCTAGCTACGACCATTTTTCTTCGTTTATCGAATCAAAAATATTTGGTTGTTCTATGCATTGTACCAGGTTCCCGGAAATGGTACGGATCCTAGAGATGTCGGTGAAGAAGAGCCTGAACCAGCAAGTTTAGCTAACGATGTCATAGATGGGGATTTGGAGAACCTGGAAATTATAAAGGATCTCGAGGAGTTGAAGTTAAAGCTCAGTGAACTTGAGTTAAAGCTCTGTGAGGTCAGTCTTTCATAACATAATACTCCAATATTACGAACTCTGAGCATCATGATGAAGTGGAAAGACTGTCCCAAAACCTTATTTTACTGTTAACTGAAAACGTTCTGCTAATCAGTACTGTGAATTGATAAACTTTCTTTACAGGCTCAAAATGCCATTTCAAAGCTAAAGGAGGAGAAGCAAATAAGCATCCAAGAAAACAAATTCTTGCAGGAGAATTTCGTAATTTTCTGTACTATTTTATTTTTCCTTGATCGTATGATTCTTATAACCATCAACTGACCGATATCATTTATTGTTATAATGTGAAAGTACATCTGAAATCAGTTTATTATTTCTGTTGATCTGTTGATGTCCAAATATAGTTTTTTCTGTCAACATCCTTAGATTGAACTTCGAAACTGTAACCGCCTAAGTCCACTACCAGTAGAGGTTGTCCTCTTTAGTCTTTCCCTTTCGGGCTTCCCCTCAAGGTTTTAAAGCGCGTCTGGTAAGGAGAGATTTCTACACCCTCTTAAAGATTGCTTCGTTCTCCTCTCCAACCAACGTGGGATCTCACAGAAACACTATGTTTCAGTGATGCCGAGAATTTAGAGCCATTCTTAGCTAGATTCTTGCTAATTTAGACATCTGATTAGCAATATGATCATCTGTTCTAGTTTTATAGCTGCAAATTTGTTGAACTATGATTTGTTTTGTTTTCCTGAATTTGCAGTCAGAGTTGAGGAAGACAGAGCTGAAGAGAGTTCAAGTAGGCTTTCCTGTTCTGTATCTCTACATGGTGGCGCTTGTATGCACTTTTCTAGGACGCCTCTTGAGGTAATACAGATATTTAATGTCATTATATGAGTTTTATCTTCTGCATACTGTCAAATGAAGGATTGATATATAACTTGAAGGTCTGTATATGAAATTTGAGCCTTGTTTGATACCTTTTAAATGTAATGATGTAAATAATAATAAAAATATGTTACCATATTATTACTTGAAATTTTTTTTTTTATTTTCTTTTGAAGGTACCAAATTTCAATCATGATCTTAAGACTTTGAAATTTATTTATGTAGACTTTATTTGAGACTGTCTGTATTAATTAGGAATGATGTGATAACTGCTAATAGTTTTATATGTCACAATGACGGTATTAATTAAGAATGATGTGAGTGACAATTGAAAACCATACACTAAATGGACCAAATTCCAGCTCGGGCCCTATTCCCGTTAGATAAATGGAGCTTGGGACGGGATTATATTCTCCATCTCCATCCTAACCCAATTTCTTGCCCCGGCCCTGTCTCAGTTAATATAAATATATTTTCAATATATACGAAAGATTAAAAACTAAATTAGTTAAATTTGAGATTCTAAATGGTAATATTTAATCATATTTTTTAATTGTTGCACATAGGTGTAATATTAAAATTTGATCCTTTGGTAAAATATATATATTTATATTTATTATTGAAAAATTTGTCATCCCCATGGAGATTTCTAGTAGATAGCCACTTTTATATTTTTATTTTCGAATAGTTATTATTTCAAAACGAAGAGAAACCAAGTTTGGTAGAAAAAATTTATGAGAATTAGAAGAAAATAGGAAGAAGTTGAAATCATAATTGGATATGGCTTCGTTTGAATGTAAGGAACATGCATCGGTCAAGGAATGGTGGAATGCAATCGGCTGCAGTGTAGACATGTGTCGAACAACAATGACAAAAATGTGGCTAGTTAGTGTGCACCATCTATCACAATCATATTTTTCTTGGCATCGGACTTTAAGAGACAGGGATATTACAATCATATCGGCTGCAACGTATGTTCAAGTCTTTAGCCCCATTTTTTCAGAAGAAGGTTTTAAAAAATCGGGATAGAGAAATTTTTGAAAGAGAGTTTAAAAATAAAGTCGAAAAAAAGATTAAAAGTAAAGTTATATGGCTATAAGAAAAGAAGGAAATATCATAGCTTAAATATCATATAACTCAGGCTAGAAAGCTTCATGGTCAAGAGGGAAACAACCCAGATCACCAACTATGACCCCTAAATGACCGCTCAGTGATAAAGGAGGTAGGGGTGCAGAGACAATTAGGAGGTTTGCCTATAAGCAGCCACCCTTGAAAGAGTGCGTAATAGCTCACTAATCGAAGATGAACAAGGATAAATGATCTACCGAAACTATGGGATGTAAAAATGCAGGTAGGGGAGCATTCCATCTTAGAGGGAAGCACCCACGGAGCAGTAATGGATGAAACAAAAGCAAGAATGTCAACTTGAGTAACGCAAACATTGGTGTGAATCAAATGCCCCGAAATCCTAAGGGTTCAACCATGAGGTTTGCCTAGAGCCACCCTTGAAAGAGTGCATAATAGCTCACTAATTGGGCGCTCTTGCACCAAAGAGGAACGAGGTTAAGCAATCTTCCAAAACTGTGGGATGTAAAAATGAATCGGTAATTGAGCGTTCTACCTTAGAGGGAAGCACCTGCGCGAGCAGTGGTGGACAAAGCGGAAGTAAGAATGTCGAATTGAGTAACGCAAACATTGGTGAGAATCCAATACCCAAAAACCTAAGGTTCCATGAGTCGGGGCATTTTAAAAATAAAATATTTTGACAAATTTCTACTTGAATCCGCTTGAAATGTCACGACATCCATGTAATATCGATATTAGTTTCAAACGATAAAGTAAAGCAATTACACCATGACATAGTTTCCATCGATCCATTTCAACATCGAATATGTCATTGTTTGTCACATCGTCGTATGCACAAAGTAAAACGTCATCATTGGAATATTTACCGATCAAAAGCTTAACACAATCATAATGGCATTAAATGATTGTTTCAAAGAATTGAGCAATTGTTCTTGAAGGATTTGGCTTTAGGATTGCTTGGCCTCTCCTGTTCTAGCTTTGAAATAGCAACCATGGCCTGTAAATTAACATATTTGAAGGATTCATATTACTATCTCTTATTATTTTGCTCAAAATTTTATGAAAGACTAACCTCATGAAGCTTTACTTCAAGCTTAGTGATCTTCAACTTCAACTCTTCCATTTGCTCATCATTACTTTGATCTAACACTTCAATAGCCATCTCTTTCCTCAATGGTTCAACATTTGGGCTAACAATGATTGTATTCAATTTCGTCTCTTCTATGTTCTTGCTACCACTTTTTCCAAACTAAAGGGGACAAACGAAAAGAAAAAAAAAACATTACCAAAAGAAACGAAAAGAACTCTGATATTCTCTTAGGAATGAAGATTATCGAGTCTTAGTCAATTTTTACTATGACTTCGAGGAGGCTCGACTCCTTTTTCTTTTTGAGACTCACTCCCAATAATCCTCAACAATCCTCCTCTCGAATAGCCTCCCCGTAATCAAGGCTCGACTCCTTTTCCTTTCTCTAGAGCCATCGAACAACTCACAATTCTTTGTTCGATATTTGAGAATTCTATTGACATGGTTAAGTTTAGGACATGGATCTAATACCATGTTAGGAATCACGGACCTCCACAATGGTATGATATTGTCCACTTTGAGTATAAGCTCTCATGACTTTGCTTTGGGGTTCCCAAAAAGGTCTCATACCAATGGAGATAGTATTCCTCATTTATAAACCTATGATCTTCCACTAAATTAACCAATGTGGGACTCACTCACAATAATCTTCAACATAGACTAATACATTAACCAATGTGGGACTCACTCTCAATAATCCTCAACATAGACTAATACAAGTCTTTTAAGCATGTTTTGTCCACACTCCGATATTCTATATTTGGTGATCTCTTAGATGCATGTGAGTGAAGATAAAATATGTTGAAATGACCCATGTTGGTCTATGAAGATAGTCTCTGCTCTTAGAAGTAAAGAGTAAGGATCGTGACTATGTCGCATGAGATATAGGAAAATTGTTGAATCTAGGTTCTAGATCTTGGACACGGTTCATTATATTTATAGTGAGATTCTACATCGATGGGAGAGGGGAATGAAACATTTTTTTTATAAAGGTGTAGAAATCTCTCCCTAGCAGACGTGTTTTAAAAAACCTTGAGGGGAAGCCTAGAAGGAAAAGCCGAAAGAAGACAATATATGTTAGCACTGAGCTTGGACTGTTACTAAAGGTGTCAGAGCCAGACACCGGGTGATGTACCAATGAAGATGTTAGACCCTGAAGGGAGGTGGATTGTGAGATTCCACATCGATTGAAGATGGAAATGAGTGCCAGTGAGGACACTAGACCCCGAAGGGATGTGGATTGCGATATCCCACATCGGTTGTAGAGGAGAACAGAACATTCTTTATAAGAGTGTGGAAATCTCTCCCTAGACGCATTTTAAAAAACCATGAGGGGAAGCGTAGAAGGAAAAGCCGAAAGAAGACAATATATGCTAGTAGTGGGCTTGGACTGTTACTAAAGGTATCAAAGTCAGACACCGGGTGATGTACAAATGAAGACGTTAGACCCTGAAGGGGGGTGGATTGTGAGATCCCACATCGATTGAAGATGAAAACGAGTGTCAGCGAGAACACTGGACCCCAAATGAGGGTGGATTGTGAGATCCCACATTAGTTAGAGAAGGGAACAAAACATTCTTTATAGAGGTGTAGAAAGCTCTCCCTAAACCTTGAACAGTGGACTCGAGTCGTTAAAGTTATCATCACTTTTCACTTATGAGGTAAGAAACTAGTGCATGCTCAAATAGATGAGAATGATGTATAGATAAATCAAAGTGTATATAGACAATGAAGCTAACATTTACCATTGTAGTGGATGTTATATCATCAACATTTGTCTCAATAGGAACCACGGTGCTCTGGATTAAGAACTTGTCTTTGCACACCATATCAAGTGGAGCCACGCTTTGTGCTTGCCTAGTAACTACATAATCAAGATATGCTAGTTCATATATACATGAAACTTCATGATAATACTAAATTAAAGCTTAAAATATCTCTATTTTAATTTCGATACTTTCAAATATTCATTCGGGTTGGATTGGATTAAGTTGAACTCAGCCTGAAATTTTGAGTTGTTTGGATTGATGACTGGAACAATCTGAATAGAGTTCACAACCCAACCCAATTTTCTATTTTCAGGTTCGGGTGTCGTGTTTTTCTCTTTTGGGTGTCGTGTTTTTCTTCTTTTTTTTTTAAATTATTTAAAAAACATTGCTTGTCCATAACATACGTTACATTAATAAAAAAAAATATATAATAAAGTTCAAATATCAAATATTCACACGTCATATAGCACATCATTACAAATGTTAAATATTCTAAACTTTTAAAAAGTAGGGTAGAGTTTGGTTAGACTGTAACTCTATTTTTAGATTGGTCCAAAAGAATATCAATCCATAAACGGAATTGAATTTTCAATTTTTCAAAAATTCAACCCAACCCAAATGGGAAAAAGCTCTAACCCAACCTAACCTTTATGGTTTGGATTGGATAATCTAAGTTGCTCGGATTATCGGATCATATAAACACTCCTACATGAAATTGAACTAAATATCCAACACGTGTCATAAGTAGGGGTGTACATTCAACCCGCCAACCTAGACCAACCCAACTCGAATTTAAGAATTGAGTTGAGTTGGATTAGCATTTCAAGTTAGGTTGGGTTCATTTTTCTAAACCCGAACTGGTTGGGTTCGGTATATTTCTAAATACATTATTTATAATAGAATAAATTAAAAGAAAAAAAAAACTATTCATACACTTTATACTATTTTTAAATACATTTTTTATAATATGAAAACTAAATGAATTTTTTTTTTTAGTGAGTTAAGATTGGATTAACAAAATATCAACTTATAAACGGAATTGAATTTTCGATTTTTAAAAAATTCAATCAAATCCAGATGGGAAAAAGCTCTAACCCAGCCTAACTCGAATTATTGGATCATATGAACATTCCTAAAAGGTATCGAACTAATATGCAAAGATGAAAATTATATTTAAAAAAGTATAAGAAAAAAAATGAGTTAAATGAAAGGAGTTCATACATATGACTTCACAAGAGTTCAATGGTTTGATGATACCCATGTTTGGTCGTACACAGTATTTCTTAACGTTTGTGGTCTTAACCTGAAAATGAAACTCGTATTAATTATTTATTTTCTAGGAAATAAAAAATAATAATAAAAAAATAAACTCATACCTTAAAAGCAACATGGTCATATGTGTTATTTTTAAGTTGAATTATGCATGACTCTTGTTTCTTTGCTTGAACTATAGGAAGATTATGAATAATTTGTTAATAGGATTAGAACAAGACAGCGGGATGATACATAAAGAAAAATATCGTAATAAATTTGAGAATTTTTTTAAGAAGTTATGCTTAACGTGAAGCATGTTATATCTAAAATCTGAAAGGACAACACTCGGACATCATTTGTAGTATTCGAAGTCAAATTAGAAAAAAAAACTAGGCAAAATGATCGAGTGGAGAGTGTTAAGATGGTATCATGCAACACGGTTGCACCCAAAATACTCAGAGGAAATGATGTATCGTTCGAAGGAAAGGACTCAATGTTACGATAGTAAGAACGAGCATAATGTTATTTTTGTAGCATCTTAACATTATCCTTAGAGCACTTGACACGTTCTTAGAGTATATCGTTCATATCAACATTGTAAAGTTTTTCTACATTGTTGAGACATTACTGTTATTATATTGTTAAGATTCAAATCGTAACCTCAATAATTTTGTTCTTCAATGAGCAATCTTATGTTTGGTGACATCCTAAAAATTTTCCTGAGAAGCATGAGAGTGAAGACAACGTATGTTGAAAGACTCGTGTTGGTCTATAAAGATAGTCTCTACTCTTAAAAATGAGAAGTACTTGATCATGTCACAAGGGATGCAAGAGAATATCGGGGTCATCAGGTTTTGAATCCATATTTCAAATTCTAAGCTGAATTCTAAGCATGAAGCATTACAAATGGTATCAGAGTGGTACCTCTGCTAGTAAGATGTGGTTCAATGGCGAACCAAGGCAGAAGCGGGTGAACATGTGACCTAAAGATAAGATGGTTAAGGAATGCTTAAAAGAATTAAAAGTTACTACCTATATCAATTAGATGCACCTTTCTTTTTGGTGGCTCAACTATAGGAATTTCAAAGTGAAGCGTGCTTTGGATGACCTTCTAGGAAATTTCCTAAGAATCATATGAGTGAGGACAAAGCATGCTAAAAAGATCTATCTAGACCGGACAAAGCACGCTAAAAGGATCTATGTTGGTCTGTGGGGATAGTTTTCACTTTTAGAAGTAAAAAGAAAGTAACAAGACTATGTCACAAGGGATGCAATAGAATATCGGGGTCATTAAGTGGTGAATCTGGATACAAAATTTTGATCAGAATCCGAGTATTTTGAGAGCCAACACCGTCATTAGAATGTTGCTTGAAAACTTCTAAGAAACTATTTCAAACTTAGAAACCAATTAAAAATCAATCAAACACGTCACTTTTAAAATTTCAAATACACGAAAAATATTTAATTCTAAAGTTTAAAAACTAAATAAAAATTAGATTTAAATCTCATAGAACAACGATATATTTATTAAATTATAGAAACGCTCACATTTTTATTAAGATCGATCAAGATGAGATTACAAGTCAGTCTTTAGAATATTACTAAAATTTGTTTTACTTGAGATTACTTTGGATTTCTTGTTTTGTATGAGATTACTTTAGATTGTTGATCTTTGAGTACGGTGGTCTCTTGTATAGTCAGCATCACAGTATCCAACTAGTTTGCGGTATTTGCTTCAAAGACCCTAATCAATTGTACCTTTAACATATCTTAGGATCCGTCGAGTCGCATCCAAATGAGGCTTCTTTAGACTTTTCATGTATAGACTCATGATTCCAACTACACTCTCAAATCCCCTTCGTTGATTCATGTAGATCTCTCGGTCCAACTTTTCGGGTAAGAAAACATTTTTCACATCCATCTGCCATAATTTCCAATTTTTACTTACTACAAATGCTAGCGAGACTTGTATGTATGATAGTGATCTTCACCACTAGTGATAAGAATCATGGTGTTCCAAATGTTTCAAGTAGACATTAAACGATGCATTTATTCTTCATCTACAAAATTGGATAGACTTCATTATTTAATGTGCTACAAGCTGATTCGATCGAAGAAGGATCATTTGGAGCTTCAAAAGTGAATATTTGCATAGTTGAAGTAGCGGATGAAATTGCGATAAATTGCACTTGATTGATAAGTTATTAGAAAACTTTATTTATTATTTTTAATTTCATAATTATTGTAAATGGGAAAATGGTGGAAAGTTAGTCAATTGACTCCTTCATTTCTGTAGATTCATACGGGTCAGATTAAATTATGGCCACTAATTTCTTTAGTGGGCATCTCGAGAATTGTATTGTACCTACCGATTATGATGTAAAAGGCAAATTTTGGAGGAATGAAATTGAGATCTCAAACGAGACTCTTACCTTGAAAATTTAAGCATATCTCTATCATTAGTTTTATGCAATTCTTATGGTAGATTGCACCTAAGTCATTCAATTAAGTCTTGATCAAGTTCAATTGTGGAGAGACTCAATTTAGAACAAAATTCCAAATCTTGCTTCTAGAGCTTTGATCTCTAATCTAATTTTAGCCTTATCTCATGTTGATCCGAATTTTGTATAAAAATATGTTAATTTCTTTGATTCAAAGGTTGTTGCTTCAACAAAAACTTGGATCGTTGGGCTGAGGATTAGGGTTGCTCTAACAATTGGACTAAATGTTTCATCATAGTTGAATTCATATTGTTAAGAAAACCGTCGAACTACAATTTGAGTCTTGTATCTCTCGACTGATCCACATGGAAGACGCTTTATTTTGTAAGCCCACTTGCAAGATCTGGTTACATCGCCTAGTCTTGACATTAGTTCCCAAGTTTAATTTTGTTTCAAGGCTATAATATATTCCTCTATCGTCTTCTACCAAGCCGAGTTCTTCATACCCCTCTTACTCTTTTAACTCTGTTTTCTATAATAGTTGTGTTGGCATATTTTGGATTTGGTTTTCGGCTTGTTTCTAACTGTTGTTTTTCGATAATCATCGAGAGAAATTCGGTGAGAGGAAATCGTCGACGGGAGGTTGTTAGAAGAAAAATAAAATGCGTAAAATAAAATAGATAGAATGACTGAAATTTTGACTGCTTCAAAATCAGATTATTCAATATTCTGAACACATTTCCTATTTAAATATAAACTATCCTGGCTGGAGAGTGGCCAACTAAATCTCTCCAAAATTGTCGTCTAAAACTTTGGTGATCCATTCGACGTGTTTTGTCAAATAGTCAAACGGAGGTATTCTGAAATCGTGTGAATCTAAATAAGGAACAACTGAAAAATCCAGGTTTTATCTAACACTAACCATCTAAGTTGTTGAGTTGTCATTTTCTTTTCACTAGGTTCACTTGGTTGAGTTACTCCTTGCTCACCAACATCTGTGCTACTGGGATCTTCAGACGCATCAACAACTTGACTAAATTTCTTCAATGTTATTCAAGTCAGGTAAGACTTTCTTTTCTAAAGACCAGCATGCTTCCTCTGCACCACTCTAATCGGCAGACAAGTGGTTTTAGCATGCTGAATCAATAACCTAATCATTCTCATAATATGTATGTTATCTCATTATCGCCATGAGCACTAGCTCATCTTCTTCTAAGGCACATAGTATTTATGCATCTCACTCCTCCTCTGTCTCTTTTTTAAGGATACTGCATTGCTTTCGAAGGACTTTTTCTTAAACTAGCAATCTTTGGACTTGTGGCCCTCCCTTCACCAATTATAACAAATGCTTTCAAATTTCTTCCCTTTTAGAATTCTTGTTGTCTTTCTTTTGAGCTTCCCAAGTTGTGCGGTTTTCTGATTACTTTTTCCTTTCTCAACATTTTTGTATCCACCTTTGGTGGACAGTTTATTGTTGCTTCGACTTTCACTTGTGTAGAACGCTTCTTATTCACCCTTCAGCATGATGTCTCCTATTTGCTTAGTCATTGGTTCTTGTTTAGCTTGATAGTTGAGTCTCCTATTTTCAATAAACTCCTGACAGATTGAATTGACTCTATGGAAGTACTAAGTAATCTTCAAGTCGTATTGTGAGATTGATAACAACTCGTTCTCCAAAAGTTGTAACCTTGTATCGTTTTTCTTTGAGAAAAAGTATAATAAACATGTCTCAAGCTTCTTTCGGTCTCTTGTCATCTCGAATGTGCTCCAACATCTCTTCTTCAATTGTGGTCTTCAAGGCAAACGTTCGTTTTATTTACTTTGATTCTCTATTTGCACAAGGTGTCATTAGAATCCTCCTCTAGCAATGTAATTTCGCTTCAGTCAACGTCTCCCGAAAGTCTTGTTGTTGTAGATAGGACATCATACATATTGTCCACGTGTTATAGTTGTTGTTGAGTTTCTTGATTCCTCCAACGACATAAAAATCACCTATCGTGTTGGCAGTACCTCAGAAATACCAAACATGTTTCATGGTCTACTCACAATACAAAGAAACTCACTCACTAATAATCTTAAGAATTCGTTTTTGACGTGGAAGATTAGGAAAAACTACAATCACAAAGCTACTAAGAATTTTAAGAGACCTATGCTAACTTCGCTCTGATACCAAATTGTTGAACACAACTCTTTGATAGACTAGTCAATAAGAGATGCAACACACCATGTACAATACTTCGAAATGAAAAGCTTAGATTGTTTAAACTTAGAAACTACACCTCTTCTTCCCCCGAGTTCAATTTAGTTTTGCGATAATTGATATCTACTCTATCTCTTAAGGCCAGTGAGATCGAAGAAGTTGGAAGTTCAAATCCCGATATTCCAATTTTATTTTATTTTAATAAAAATTAAAAGGATAATTACAAAATTCTTTTAACAACAGGCACTCATAACGAGAAGTTGAATTTGATCATCGTCCAATAATTGAAGAGCAAAGGAAGAAACAATCAATCGAAAAAAGAAAGAACAATCGATCGAGAAACGCACAGCTTACGATAAACAAACAAGAAAAGAATTTGATCTATTTGGGTTTGTGTAAAGAGACTTACAAGTAAACTTCAATTCGTTGGGACAAACTTCAAGAAGTCGCATATCCATTGTGTTCTTCCTTCCGACTCAAAAGCAATAAAGATGAAAAGCAAAGACTTGGGGAATGGACAACCATTCATATATCAATAAACCAAACCTAATTGACTTTTTTTTTTTCCTTAAACAATCATTACAACCCTATTTTGTTTTGACTTTGAAACCGTCCCACTTTGACTTTTTAAGCTTCAGACGTATTCAAACAATTGGGTAATCCGAAAAAAATCAATCTATACTGTTTTAAGTTCTATTATGAACTTATTTGTATCAGGTTGGATTCAAATAAATGAAAATTCGGTTGGTTCATGAGTTTGTCTAAAATTAAATTTATTTAATAAATAAATAAATAATACAAAGTAACGTTTTACTTTTTATTAAAATAAAAATTTTGAATAAATAACCCGAACAACTCAAACCAACTTGAGTTAGATTCATTATTTAATAGAGACGAAAGTAGATTATAGAAAAGAAAGAAGGCAAAAAAATTAGAAATTAAAAAAGTACATAAATTCTTGATTGTATCACAAATCCCATTTTGTTTGAATTCGTTATGGATTAAAGTTCTTCCTATGTTATATTATTTAATTCTCGATGATGAATCAATTTGATAGCTCCGATATTGTTATTCATGATATTGTAATACGATTCGATATCATCTAGATGCAATGCAGCCCGTTGAATTTACAAGCGAAATATTTATTATCTCTGTGGGGTTAAATCTCGAGTTATTACTACTGCACTGTTCATTCTAGTTCCTACCACCTTTTTACTTGTTTTGATTCTCAACCCGACCGCCCGACCCAACCCATGAATACTCCTATTAAACGGTCGGAAAAATTAATGTTTTAGGAATATTTAATAAATTCTTTAAAAAATGAATTTAATATAAATTTCTCGGACATTTCATTTATTGATATTTATAATACTTAAAAGTTGATATTTTCAATGGTTAGACATAGATATCAGCGAAAACAAATCACATTCGACTTTTAACCCATTTTAATATACAAATATTTATAAATTTTTGGTACACGAGAATGTTCCATTTAAAATAAAACAAAAGGAAAAAACGCTTGTCAAATCTGTAACAAGACAAGCTCACAATTAATAGATATTGTCATTTTTAGACTTTCTCTCTCAAGCTTCCCCTCGGTTTTTAAAACTACAGGGAGGTTTCCACATCCTTATAAAAAAATGCTCCGTTCAACATGGGATCTCACCGCTAGCAGATATTATCGTATTTTGGCTTTCCCTATCAAGCTTCCCCTCAGTTTTTAAAATTACGAGGAAGTTTCGACATCGTTATAAAAAAATGTTACGTTCAACTGGGATCTCACAAATAGAGATTTTAAGAGTATAGGACGACCCATTTAAACTCTAAGCTTGAATGAACCAAATTGATATCCCAATCCTATCTGTTTATTTTTGCTGCTAATAGCAATTTATTTACAGATCTACCATATGAGAATCCTCAGATAAACACAAACACACATTCTTGTAAAGAAAGATGCAGGATTTCAAGAACAGTGAAGACTATAAGATTGATCTGATCAGTAGAGACAGAAATCTCACTCCAAATTCATACCTGCATCTTGCAACACCGTTAATATATATGTTCGAGTAAATTTACATACATAAGCAACGAAGCTCTTTCGTTACGTATGGAATCGCCATCCTCACTCCCAGTCAGTGTCAAAGAAACCAGCATCCTTCATCTCCGAATAGTATACGTTCTCCAAATGCAAATCGTCCTCCTGAAAAAGCAATACAGATCTCGAGATTACAAACGTCCTTTTGATCGAAAAATAGCGGAAATAACTGTGAAGGTAGAATGATATGGTGAAACAACCTGGAAGAAGTCGGCAAGAAAATGTTCATATAGAAGGGGAAGATAGAAGGCATGATAACAGACGACAGTGGCACCATACAACCTGGGACAAAAACAAACATGATATACCATCAAAATGACCAGCTCGAATCTAGTAGATATTACAAAGAGGTTAAATTACATTCGAGTTCAAACTTCTGACCTATTGATCGAGGATACATGTCTTAACTAGTTGAGTTATGCTCAAATTAAATAATCAAGTAGTGTCTACATTTCTTCGAACGGGAGAAAGCAGCCATGAGAGACAATGAGCTACCATGCAACGTGTGGTGTGTGTATTAACATTTGAGTTCAAACTTCTGACCTATTGATCGAGGATACATGTCTTAACTAGTTGAGTTATGCTCAAACTAAATAATCAAGTAGTGTTTACTTTTCTTTGAATGGGAGAAAGCGGCCATGAGTGACAATGAGTTACCACGCAACGTGTGTTGCGTGTATTATCCCAAATGTAATAGTTTAACCCGAGTAAAAACTTGAACACTTGCTGAAAAAATGCAGAGTTCTCTCAAATTTTGGAGCCAATTCCGACCCTTCCAACAACTTTGGGAGATTTAACCAAAACCGTAAAGACCAAATTAAAATCAAACTAAGCACAATGGAGGATTTAATCATGCTGCCCTTACCAATAGCCAAAACCAGCTCCATTTCCAGCGATCCCGCAAGCAAAGAGTGCCAATGCGTTCAAAGACGACATGATAACGACGTATCTGTAGAAAGCAGGTCTTGCTGCAGAAGAATTGATAAAAGAGTGAAAACTCACTGCAAGATAATACAGTTCATTGATGCATACAGAGGAAAGATATTATACCTGGTAATTTCTCTCTATGGCTTGAATGGTACATGAACAATATAAAACCATACGCTGCAGTAATCAACAGACGGTGGACGACCCACAAGTTCCACTTTGTTCGATGCTTACTGTCGTCACTTAAAATGAATAATGGAACTCCGAACCCAAACAAATAAATTGCCTAAAAAAGGAATGAACAAACAAAGGCAAGGCAAGAATGAATCAGTAACGTAAGAAGAATCGTTCCACACGTTATACAGCCCTCCAAAAAAATTGTGTACTTGAAAAACATAATCGAACATCCAAACACTTTAAACACTGCAAAGAAATCCTATGTATATATAGAACTCGAAATGAAATATCTAGACCCTATATTAACTTCCATCCGATGCACCCGAACATAAATGTACCTACAATTAATCCATCTCTAAAAATTATGTAAATGGATATTCAATTAAAACTAGTCACTGTATACGTACTAAGCGTATGTATCTCAAATTAAAAACACGTCTAATTTTCAGCTGGTTTTCTCCTTTTTAAAACATCAAACTTTTGCTTTTCTATCAGAATGTTCTCCAGGGGCAGACCTAGAGGCACCTGAAAAGGAGTCATTTGGGAGTATTTTCTTGGATATACCTTCAGAATCAAGTCCAGGCCAACAAAAATTCCTGACACGATGAAAGTTCGTGCGAGGGCTTCTACGCTGCCCACATGATTTCCTTGATATAAAAAGGCCAACAAACTGACTTCCAAGAATAGCATTCCCGATGTCGTGGATAAGGACAAGATATTCCATGCTAATTCTTTCCCAGAGGTGCATTCCCATGCCTGTTTAATCCAAGTTGGTAATGATTATCAGACAAATCAAACTACAGAATTGAATTAATTGGTAATTGTAATCCAATGGATGATATTGGAACTTGGCTTGAGTATCTGGACACAGTAATTACAAACACTGTGCTCCAGTCACAGCTTACATCATAGTAAGATTCACATGAAAATGTATATAACAACATGACAGAGGACAAGAACACAGGAATCAAGCAACCAGCATTTATGGAGGAAAATGAGAGACATATAGATATGGGTGGGGTCACAGATTCACACTAAAATATTGACAAAAAACACGGCGGTCACGGGAAGAGGAGTCAAGCAGCCAGAATTTAGGTACTGAAATGATATGAAAATAGAAATGGTAGAGGATATTGGATAAATAAATGTAAAATAAACGTTGTAACCATTTCTAAACCACACATTATGTAGCTATCTATATATATTCTAGATATCTTTTTGCTTTCTATCATATACTAATCCTTGAATAGTTTTGAGAAAATTCAAATTTAGCTTTAGTTTGACATACAAAAGAGACACGATAGTATTACCAAAATTAAAAGTGGGAAAGATTTGATGGAACCAGAAGAATGGAATTAATTCTGCATTGATAATCCGAGTTACGAACTTACAAGCTAAGGGAGATTTTGCGAGCTCCCGCCTCTATAGAACCCACAAATCGATAGTTAAAACGACGCCTCCCTCTATACTCTTTGCATATATATCTACTAGAGAACCTACTAACGCAACCCTGCTGACCAACAAATATTTCCATGGGTTCCACCACTAATCACATATTCGCTCGCTCATTTTTTAGCCTCTTCAGCTCCTCTCGCTACCTTTCCCACCTCTCTAGAACCCAGTAATCGATAGTCAAGACGACGCTTCCCTCTACACTCTTTGCATTTATATATCTACTACAGAATCTACTAACGCAACCCTGCTGCCCAACAAATATTTCCATGGGTTCCACCACTAATCACATATTCGCTCGCTCATTTCTTAGCCTCTTCAGCTCCTCTTGCTATCTTTCCGCCTCTCTAGAACCCACTAATTGATAGTCAAAACGACGCTTCCCTCTACACTCTTTGCATATATATATATCTACTACAGAATCTACTAACGCAACCCTGCTGATCAACAAATATTTCCATGGGTTCCACCACTCATCACATATTCGCTCGCTCATTTCTTAGCCTCTTCAGCTCCTCTCGCTATCTTTCTATTGATACATATTTATAATTCGGGGTCTATCAAGATTTTACGAAACAAATACGGAACTTTCCATTTAAGAAATTGAAGTTTTAGAACGATACAATAAGTTTCAAATAACATACCCATGTTAAGAATCACGACTCTACACAATGGTATAATATTGTCTCCTTTGAGCAGAAGCTCGGGCTTCCTCAAAATGCCTCATACCAATGGAGATATATTCCTTATTTATAAACTCATGATCATTCCTTATATTAGCCAATGTAGAACTCCCTTCCAACAATCCTCAACAACCCATTTCTTGCGAAAGCCTCACAAATTCACAAAATGC